GGTTTACCAGTCATCAACCTCCTCAGTCCTGGGCTTCTGCGAAGCTTCCCTCTTAATCCCTAAAACTGAGACATTACTCTCCACACACACAGAAGCACAACGCAAGAAGAGTTGATTGCAGAAATATACTCGTGTGCTTGGTTAGCAAACAAGTGCCATGTGTTCAGATGCAGAGAGGGACAACATTTCCCTGTGAGCAGCGGGGAACTCCACGTGTTGTCAGGAAGGTCTCAGGCACCTTTTGCAAAAGATGAATTATGCAATGCACACTGTCACGTTACCTGCAATTCCTCAGAAACATTCTTGTCAAACACGCAACCAAAGGATGACGTTTCTTTTTTAAGTAAACAAGACAACTTTTCACAAGGCTGTTAGCTGGAAAAGCATGCATGGACATAGGTTTTATAACTTGATCCAAGAGCATACAGGAGCCTATCCACATAAGGCTGATCACTGCAAATGGACAAAGCTTTAGAAAAGATCCAGGTTTGCAGGCAAGTATTACAGAGCTATATGCAAACATGCCCGGCTACTCCTCCGAGCTGCTTCGGGCACTCCTCAGCGTTTCAAAAACCAGGTTCCCATATAAGAAGCAGGTCTCTTCCCTTGTTTGTGTTATCCCCCTACTTGCTCTTGAGCAGACAACACAAGAACGGCAGAAATAAGCACCGCGGAGCGGGGATACGCGGAGCCCCCCGCGCGCACGCCGAGCTCCGCTCCGCGTTAGCGAGAGCCTTTACCCCGGGAACGGGATTAAAGAGTCCGACGACCCCGAGCAGCCCTGGAGGAAGAGGAGAGCTCTTCCCTTGTTTGTGTTATCCCCCTACTTGCTCTTGAGCAGACAACACAAGAACGGCAGAAATAAGCACCGCGGAGCGGGGATACGCGGAGCCCCCCGCGCGCACGCCGAGCTCCGCTCCGCGTTAGCGAGAGCCTTTACCCCGGGAACGGGATTAAAGAGTCCGACGACCCCGAGCAGCCCTGGAGGAAGAGGAGAGCGGAGGAAGGGCAGCCTCCTCTGGGGGTCGCGTCCCGCGTCCCGCGCGGCGGGGGCTCCCC